CATGTCTGTTGCAATGAGAAACAACGTTGAAAAAAGAAAAAATAATAATAGAAACTTTTGTCAATTCCGTCCAGATTTTATTGTTTGCATTTGTAAATATTAGCCGTAAAATGTATTCCTATCAAAATGACAAATTAAAAAATATTGTTATTTAATATTTTCGAATGGAATTAGATAAATTTTGCTCAAATCGTTTAAAAAATTTAATGAAATTTGAATATATAAAACTATATTTCCTTTTAAACATAACAATAGATCATAACCCTTAAAGCAACTACGTTTAATTAAAAGTCGTAGTGTATAGTTGAGTGATTAAAAAGTGTATTAATAATTGGACGGTTGTGAAATTGAGTTACTTCGGGAATTTAAATTGGTTGGAATAGGCGTTGATTCTGTAGTGTAGATTTATTTGAAAAGTTACGATAGGTAATTTAACCACGAAAGACAAAGGGTGAAAATACAATAATACGGAATGTGATCTCACGTTTTTGTCAATAATGAGTCTCAATCCTTCGTCGATTTACCGTGAAATGGGAAAAGGAAATGGAAGAAGGTTTACGCTTGTCGAAGGTCGAATAGTAAATTTTTACAGCACGTAGATACATCTCTGATGTTTGTTCGATCTATTCGCTGCTCTTAAGTAAATCTAGTTTAAAAAGAGTAAATTCACTGAAACGTGTAAAGGTGTAGGGATGACGAATGCATCAGTAAATACAGTGGAATATGTTCGAGAGAGCCCGTAAAAGTTATTCTTACTGTTAGTGTTTTCAAGAGTATTGTAGATTAAAAAATAACGTAAAATCATTTTTTTAAATTGTCCGTTTTCAAAGAAATATTAATTTCTACAATATTACATATTTCATTCAAAATATGCAGTATTTTTCGTACTTGAAATATAGTTTTTCAAGGTAAGTGCAATCCACAAATTTTTTATTGTTTACTTTTTGAAAAACTGTTGTATATTAAACTCTCAAATCTATATATGTATAGAGAATACAGATTCTTTTTTATAGAATGAATAGAAATAAAATCTGAAATGCTATGAAAATTAAAATGTGATAATGGAAAGATTGAAATTAAATTTAAAAAATATATATTTTTGGGCTTCAATTAAATTAATCAAACTTTGCGTCAATATACGTATGTTAAATTCATTATATTATATGTGATTCCACTTTAAGTACTCAATATTAATTTTTTATGTGTTTCTCGCTTATCAATCCCTCGCTGTTTCTTCTTACATACGAAATATCAGTTTTCGATACTCTGTGCGCAAAGCGCGTCTTTCCCGCACGCTCGGCAGAAAATGTACATTCAAAATCACACTTTCCACACGTCGTATAAAACAATACGGTACGGCACATGTTTGGGAAAGAATTTCTCGTCTCGTGTGCTTGTCCACCATCGCTTCGCTCGGGTATAAACGCCACACGAGACAAGAATGTACTTTCCCACACTTGTATCATAATATACTATTTATAAACGATACAATTTATGAAGGTATATGTGTATGAAGAAATCACTTTTATATATATATATATATATCTATATAATGCTAGTACTATCTAACTATTTATACCAATACATTGAATTTTTTAATTTATGAAGATAGTTCGCATAGAAATGAAATCGCTCAAACTTTTCAAGAAAATATTGCTTCCCTAAAACGTTTAATATGCCCATTCTCATAATCTCTTCGTATATGAAAGACATTTAAATCAATGAAACTTTTCCAATTCCGTTTTCATCGACGCAGAAGCGTAATCAATCTGTACATTCGCCAGGTGTAGCCTTCTGCCGTACCTCTTTTGTTGGCCTGTTTCGAAATCATGCACGAACGAGTTACATTCCAACAATAATCATAATAATGAACACAAACAACAACCACAACACGAGCTTTTATATGCTAATCGAAGATGCTCCTTTTTGGACAAGAATTCCTTCATTAAGTACCAGATCCTGGAGCATAGATACATCAAACACCAATTACCTCTCGAGCTGTGTCAATCGCAACCTCTCACGTACACACGTGCATATGTATTGACGTAAGTGGGTCACTGCTGATATTCCAGTGCTAGCTCAACGATATCGATCGACGTTGCGATGTATCAAGCGATCCCATGGGGGATATTCATATTCGCTCTTTGTTAATTCTTTTAAAGATTCTTTACTCTCAAATTAAAATATTTAATTTCCGCGTCAAATCATTTTTTTTAATTGAATATGGCGATAAAACAATTATTTGTTAGCAATTTTTTCAACAATGTCAAAGTTTTTTCCATAAATTTCTTGTAAGTAATCTTGTGAAAAGTTAAAATTAAGAGTTCGTTCAGTTAATACTAAGCTTTCAACCGTAGGCAATGTTATTTTCATTGTTTACGATATCAGATTTACAAAAGTTTCACTCTAATACTTCTTCGCATAAAGCACCAAATATTTGATTTTTAATGAAGTTTACGTTTCAAATTTTCATAGTAAGCTCTGTTATACTCCCGCAAAAATTCATCATTGGTCTACCGTTCAAACTTTGGAGAGAATCGTCAGAAGCTCTTTAAACATCAAACATTCCTAAAACATAGTTCAGCACGATAATGTTGGGGGAAAAGGGGGTATGCATAAGTCAAGCTTGACCTTGTGTAAACTGAATTCTCTGTAAACTCCCAATTCGATACAATCCATTATTTTGGCGTTGTATCCAGGAGTGCAGAGCGATTAGGATTTATGTGCGTCAAAGCTAAAAAGAGCTCCTTTCGGAAGATGATTACAAACTGGTACGACAATGTGCAATTTCGGAAGACTGTTTTTCTCTGTTCCTAGAATGACAATGTTATGGTTACAGGTCACTCTTATTCATTGAGGCATAGAGTCAATGGATTGTTTGCTAAGCAGTTCAAGGATTTCAATTTTTTTTTACGTCGTACGAGATTTTTGCCATTATACGGGAATACACCTTTAGCTCGAGGGAAAGAAAATGTAAATATAAAGATATATATTTATAGAGTCGGGATAGTATCTTATCGGGTGAAAATATTTTCCAAGACGCTCGCGAAGACGTTCGTTGGCAGTTGCAAAATCGAGTCGATGAGCCCTTACTCGTTCTGTTGTAGATGGCAACTCGATTATTGATTATGTGCTATATAAAAATGTTGATAAAAATGACTTTAAAAAAACTTTATATTTGATATCTCGTAAAATTAAAGAGTAAAGATGATCATGAGCAATTATACATACTTAAACCAAATAATTACGGGGCTAGTATATTTGGTATACTTAACTAAAAAAATCAATACATTGATTGATTGTACATGACGCTTGATCCCAAGTCAAAATAGGAAAAACATGTGTGAAGGTAAATAAAGTTTTCAGAAGTTTTTATTACAACAACCTAATAAATAATGCTAAATAACCAGCAATTTCTTACGGTTAGAATTATAGTACATATTTTTATTAATTATCAATTATCTTTGTTATTTTCATGTAAATATTTACATTATGTACTTTATTAGTATACGGTGTGAGTCTGTTACTTTTTGCCTATTTTAACGTTATAGGTAAATACGAACGGAAATCGGACCTGTCGAATCGGTTCACAATGTAAAATCCTAAACGTTAAAGATTAGAGAAAGAAAAAATTCATGTCTGAATAGAAATTTGTCGACGAATGAAATCGGTGACGTAAAAACGCCGCAAACAATCATGCACTATAAACAAAACGAGAGTACTCTACGCGAATGCCTCGATTTGCAACTTACATAACAGACAGTCAAATCAGTTATGACACAAGGGAGACTTTTTTAGTTCTTGCCGGAATAAGCATAAGTTCTAAGTGTTCGTCAGTTCCCATGGATTTACTTTGAAAAAGCCCGTCGGGTAAAATTCATATATTCGTCGGCAGCTTACAATCATGCAATTTTGAGCGTAGTATACAGCCTTGTTAAAGCATCAAGCGATGACGTTTCACGCGCGAATTCGAATCAAGTCAATTCTTATGCACACTCGCATGCCTATGCAAAGTCGCGCTCGGAAGAAAAGCGAGTCGATAGGTACGGTCGTCGCAAAAGGAGCATCGTTCTTTTGCTCGCGCGCGCAGTTCTGCACACGTGTCGAAACTCCCCCCTCCCCCCTCCTGTATACACATACGCGAATGTGCATTTCACTTTCGCTCGCGCGCGCGCACACACCGAACTCGCTTATATACGTAATAAGCGCGGGACAAGATCGACGAGATGCATTGCTCTGAGCGCCCCGAAAAACTTCCATCTATAATACACCGCACGTACATATATATGTATATATATACTACAAAGTGCACGAGCATGCGTGTTTCTGTGTGTTGCGTTGTTGGCATAACCGCACTATTTCTTGCAAGTACATTTTTTCTTTCTTCCTTTTTTTGCGTACCAACAACAGGATGTTCTCTCTTTCCCTCTCTCTCTCTGTCTTTTAGTTATTATAATATATACTTAGGTTGTGGATGAAGGATAGAGAGAGAAAGAGAGAGAGAGAGAGAGAGAGAGAGAGAGAAACCCAAAATGTATTGCACACGCTTCGCACACGTATATGCACGTGAAGGATTAAGTGTTTAACGACCTCCGCTACACAGATTTTACGTCTAATGTTATGTTCGCGGGCTTTTAACTATCCTTTACGCTTGACATTAATTGAAGTAATTTAGGCAAGCCGACACATTTCTCCTTGCGAAAATTGCCGCTTCTACTTTTTTATGTTTTAGCTCTCTAGCGAAATTAATGAAAATAGCGAGGTTAGATTTTTTTCTTCTTTACCTTTGACTTTTATTGTTTGTTGCGAAAAATTAGTGATTTAAGAAGACAGGCAGCAATATTGTTTAAGCTTTAATTGTATTTCATAGTTATTTCGAGGTGTCGTATCTGAAAAATAAATCGTGAATAAATAACATTTACCGGTATATGATTGAAACAATTATAACTAAAAATATATAATTAATAAGAGAATTCAAATCCAGTGGTGATAAATAGAAGTATATGTTCATCCTTGGGATATAAGAGTTGTTTTGTTCGTTAATTTATCTTGGTTTCTTATCAAAATGCCGTGAGTGGCGCATGCAGGAGCAGTGAGAGACCTTTGAATTGGATCTTACCGTCCGATTGATTCAGCTTTAGCAAACTCGTCGTTTTCATTTGTATTGGTAGTTGTACTTACGAGAGATCGATGCAGATGCAGGTGAGGGTTGGCCATGAGAAGGTTCGCTACGTTACGTGAACGGTTACATTATCGACTTCGAAGTCACTGAGCTCTCAGTCGCTCTCTTTGTTAACCTTTCTGGATTATCCTGACTGATGTTGTGTAAGTTATGCAATGTGTTACTTTTTTTGAGAAAAAATATATTGTTTAAACAAATTCAATTCTTTTATAATTACATAAAATATTATTTGCTATATCTCGTTGCATATGTGTTTATAAAAAAATAACAATTAACAGAAATCCAAATATATACTCGACTGGATTTTCATTTGATTGGAATAAGTCGTTATTTTTGGTATGTACATTCTTTAAATAAATATTTTATTTAGCATCTAAGGGTATAAAATGTAACGTTTAAATCACATGTAAAAAAAACTATAAAGCAATCTTTCGTTTATCAACTTTTAAATAAATACCATTTTTAGGTGTTTGAAATATAGACTCTGTCGCATATTCAGCTGTAACTGGAGTTTTATTACAAAGAGAAAATTTATAATGCAGAATCAAGTGAAATAGAACCATTTTAGTTTGAAGTTTTCCTAGACCCTTACCTATAAACAGAGTATTTTATGGAAGTTTATTTTAAATATTTATTCAACTATTTTTAAATATTAATTTACTTATGCAACTTCTTGGGCCTTGACCAAATGGTAAGTAAGAAAAGGTATTTTGGGATGCAATATTTTCCTTACTAAATCTCATTGGATCAAACTTTTGTGGATCAGAGTGAATATCTTCATTATCGTGAATGCCAGAAACTGAAATTATAATACGTGTACCTTTTTCAATAATAAAATTTGAGTTTGGAACTTGGTAGTCTTTTACACAAACTCGATTCAAAAACGGTACAGATGGATGTTTCCGCATTGTTTCTATATAAAATAAGTGTAATTTTTTGATTAGTTTCAACTTTCTCATATAAATATCATAATTATTAACTATGCACTATGATATTCAAACATATACCGTGAAAAGTCATGTCAAGATATTTTAGTTCCATTAACACTTCATAAGTTAATTCATTACAATTTTTGTTCGAATTAAATATTTCTTCATATAGCTTATCTTGTACATCAGGATTCAGAGCTAATTCGTAAATGCAGTGCGTAGCTATTGAAGACGACGTTTCAAATCCAGCCAAGAAAAAAACTATGGCTTGAGCTATGGCTTCTAATGGTTCAAGTCGTCTTGCAATCTTTTCTGTAAATGTTTCATGAAATTTAAATATTTATACTTATGTTTTTCATACATAATGCATTGATTACCTTCATTTATTCCATTTACAGAGTCTCCCATAACTTCAGTTATCATTTGTTCATAATCCATAAGATCCATTAATGAACCCAAAAAATCTTTTCTACTGATTTTGCCTGCTCTTCTTTGATCAACCATATCTTGAAACAATTTTACAAAAAATGACGTGATTTGAGGGTTTATTAAAGGTATCCGAAAAAAATCCAAAACACAGGGAGCGAAAAATCCTAAAGCAGCTCGGACTATACTATTTTCTGCAAGCAATTGACCATAATGACGATATATATTGTCAGGATTCCTAAGACAGTAACTGTCTAAGCCAAAAGCTAAGCTGAAAATTGTATCTGTAGTATATCTGTAATTGATTATTCTTTATTATTTTAGTTATTTATTTGATTTTCTAATAAACTTCTACATATTAATAGCTTCTATTTTACATAACTTACGAGGTATTATATGTTTATATTCATTCGTTAGTAAATCAGTTATAATTTCAATTATAATATTAGTCATGTCAAAGATTTGTAGTCTATAAAAATTATCATAATAAAAAAAAATAATTATAAACATTTACGAACATCACGTAGTTAGAACCTTAAATGTAAATCAAGTAGTATTTGTGCTAAAAATTAGTCAAGCAACATGATGCTTCATTCAGATTTAAAAAAAAAAACGATACTATTGAAAGCACGTACCTGGCAATAAGATCTTTAAGTTCAAGATTATCGGTCTCCGATAAATTTTCATTGATTACTTTGATCATTTCATCTGCAATATTCTTTAAAATAGGAAACATTTGTTTGAGCTTCCCAGAAGTAAAAGATGGTGATAATTTAGCTCTCATAGTCCTCCAAACATCTCCATTTAATAAGAATATGTGTGCACTCAATGGATCACATTTGTGGTTTGAATATAGACCTCGATCGCAGAAATATGTAAAATCCTTTACTAATACGTTTCTAATAAGCTCAGGGTCGTTGATCATCAAGACTGGGTTGTAGAAAACGTATAAACCATGGAAAGGATACTTTTTAAATTTTCTATAACTTCTTTTCATTACATTACCTTTGAGTAGAAAAATAATTATTATTACATTCTCATCTAGAATATTTTTCTCAATTCGTAACGAATGATATGACGAATGGTAAAAGTGACACGAGAACTATGAAAACTGATGTAGATATTTATCAGAGTATACTGTAATGTGACTGCAATCATGAGAAATTTTTAAAGGCAGTGAATCAATGTTTATAGTTACATAAAAAATGATAATAATTACCTAAAGTAATTTTTTTTGTAAAAAAATCTATACCGAATATGCCAGTGAGCACTGTGAAATCGTCATGAGGTATTTTTTTCTTTCGCCAATATGAATAAACTTTTCTTTTCAGATATAAATAAAAGAGAATAACTGCACTAATTAACCAAAGTACTTTTGAGTGTAATATTTGTTCTCCTAATTCAAACATTTCTGTAGATAATTAATAAGTTTAAAAAATAATTGACTTTCTTGATTAAAAATAAAAATGTTTTCACACTCTCAACAACAACTCGTATTATGCTTCACTAGCTTGCTCGGACAGGCTATGTTTGTTATGTGACTTACCAAGATCTTATTTCTTGCCACACTGGATGGTCGTGAGAAGCTGATTCTGTGCATATGAGATGCATTATCTGAAAAAAATCAACTGAATAATTTATTCCGTGACCACAGTCATAATATTTAGACATTTTTTTACAATTACAATATAAGACTCCTGACTTATAAAGTTTAACAAAATCAATCACGATCTAGAGTTTCTATTTTAATATCAAATAAAAAAAATGAAATTTCATAATTATTCACGTGTATTTTTAAATAACAAATAAATAGAATATTTGGATAACGATCATTTTCATAGTCTAATTAATTGTTCAAATATAAACTATTTAAAGTACGACTAGAAAACGTTGATGATAGTTATAAATCACTATTTATCAGAGTAAGAGAAACAATGTAATATCAAAAGATGTCGCAAAATAAAAAATAAATAGGAAAAAGTCTTTCGCATTAGAGATCACTCAAGGAATGTTCGTGCACGCATACTTTCGAAGTTAAATTTATGCGCGCCTCTTGCAAAATGTTCTTTCCGCGTACGTGCGTTTTTGGTCCTCGCGCACGGAAGCATGAAAGTTTCTCGCGAGCAATTGTGTCACTTGGCGCGCGTCTAAGTGCGTTACGCAGATATACATATGAGAGATTTTCGGTGCATAACGCAACTACGTGCTCCTTGCTAATAAGGTTTCCAAATCATGTATTACATTCCTGTTGCTCCGAGTTTATTGACGCAAGTTCTTTCTGCTTTCCTTTTTGAAAACAAATCTGAATGAATAGCTTTACAAAAGAAAACTGATGTGTTTGAATGGTATTTATCATTTTATCCACATTTGATGAACGCTGCCAACATCGATTTTACTATTACATTGGAAAATAATGAATTCCATTCTCATTTCATTCTTTTTTAAGAATTCATTTAATTGAAACAAAGAAGCATCATGTTTCATTTACAAAGGCTTAATCAAAAAGAGGAACATTATTACCGTGGCGACGGCGCGGTTTCCTTGATTAAAAGAGACTTTCTACATTGAACATAAAAATAAAAGTCGAATATAATCAAGAGCGGGCGCGAATGCTCGAGTCGCGCGCACATTTAATTTTCAACGTGAATAAAAAAGAATTACCCGTGGTGTCGCTTGCAAAATAGATTCACGCAGTCGCGACCGGAATGCGCGCAGACAGAACGTCGCGCGCCTGAACGTATGCGTACTACTTCAGTGCGGTTGCAAAGCCCGACGACCTTTTGCCGTACCGAAGGGAGCCACCAACGCACAAAGTACTCTCAAATCAGATCGTTCACGTTTAATTTGTTCTTTGATTCTCAATTTTATCATCTCATTTCGTAAGATTCATTTACGCATACTCCAGTTACAATTGTAATGAGCATTTTCATGAAAAAGTTTGCTCTATTTTTGTAGCGCGATATATATCTTCCTCGCAAAGAATACAGGCAGTTATGACATTTCGCTACAAAAACAGATGAATAATGCAGAAATCACACATGAATAAACAACAGAGCCGCGTAATTTGTATAATCTGTACGCTTTACAATGGAATGACTACATCATCGAATTTTCATTCGACAGCCCAGCGTGCAATTCTATTCGCTGATGCGAGCTGTCATTATCGAGTATACAAGGGATGTTGCTTTTTTTTCAAACCGATCGATTTGTATATAGCCGCCGGTGATGTTGCCTGTTTACTAGTACACGCCTGTGAAATTAGAACGACATGTCGGCGCCTATTTCACTTTTGTTGCTGAGCTTTTATTTCTCACAGGAGATCTACGTGCATTGTAACACGCTGTTTTTTTTCCTTTCTTCGGGGATTAAGCGCGGTACTTATTGCTTGTTTCCCCGCTTTCTTCTTTTCGACGCCGGTTTAATATTGAGTAGGCCTTTTTCTTTTCATACATCAACCTCAACAATGGCCTCGTAGCTTTAGTTTTAAAAGCCTCGGTTTTTTATTTGAAACGTGAAAACTTTTTTAATCGAATTTTTTATCAGATCTTAAAGTTCGATGTAAGTATAATTTCAAAAACAAGATAAAAAAAGCCTTTGTACTTTACAAACTGATGAATATCTTTAATTTTATCACCTTCCAAAAATTTCATATATACTTTGCATGACCGATTATTTATTATGTTGATTTTACTCCTTATTTCTATTAAAATCGTCGAAATATTTCATTGATTTTACTGAAAATTGCTTTCGATGTACTTCAAACTAATACTATAATTTTAAATGAAGTTATCAAAGCATATTTTGAGCAATATTTTATCAATTCCTGGCAGAGTTTTTTTTTAAATATATGTTTATTGTTTAAATATGCAGAATTCAATCAGTAAATATGACACTCTACTTGAATGATATTAAAAGCTGCCATTTACGAAAATTTACAAAGAATTGATGAAAGAGAAGGAAATACCGCGAATTAGCATTCATCCCATTTATATCCGTCCATTCACTCATTCAGAAATTCGCACCACGTTACTCTATCAGAAAGATGAAAGGAAAAAGAACGATCTATGAAAATGAAACTGCGCAGATTGTTATCGTAGCTGCCTTTTATTTGCTTATCGTTGCATGCGACAGTAACAACTCTTCCCATGCCAATCCTGTAACGCCTCTTGCATCAAGGCAGCAGCTGTAATTTTTCATCGATCGCACCGGTCCGATACAAATTGGTCGTGGCACACGATCTTGCGTTTGCGTGCCACACTTGCCTCGCGCCACGGATGTTAGTCTGATAAAATTAGTCGTCTATCGACGTGGGCGTCGTACCTTTTCTCTTTGTCCAACTTGTTTTATTTTCATCCTGCCACCCAACAGCGTGTTTTTCTCACTGCATTATTTATATGCTCTCGTGCCGATTTCACGCCAATCGTTTCGAAATATACGTATGTTATATACTACGTGTATACTTATTTGTAGAGAGAAGAAAAATGGCGAGGTGATAAAGCAAATCGATTGGGAAATCGGGCAACATTATCTATTGTTTACTTTATTTATAACACTAGCAACGGTTTCCTTCTTCTTCTCTGATATGTTAAAACCGATGTAACGCTTGGCCAGTCGCTCGTGAGAGATTCAGCATTTATCGCGAGGTAAATAATTCGTCAAAATGCGTTTATCATCTGTTCTGCGTATGGAAGCAGAAATTTATAAGTAATTGACAGCCTTTTCAAATATTCTTTTTGGTGACGCAATGTGTCATTGTAAAACAACACTGATATCGATATTGTTTTCTTGATTATATCATTGCTGCGACGATGAGTACATTGATTTGTGGTCGATCATTGTACGATTAAAGAACTAAGCTGACGACCTTGTTATTTTCAGCAGATCATTTTCCCATTTAATGAAAAACATCCTTATATCTCATACATCACTACATTAGTAACAGATTAAAGCTTTCGCGTTACCAAAAATTTGTGATTTAGAAACATTAACCTTATTATTTTTCATTTTCAGAATCTATGGTCGAGTGGAATGGCAAGCGAGGTGAAAGGTCCATTACGCGTCGTTCATCGTTTCGTCGACATGCCCAAGCAAAAGGCCAGTTTCTACAACCAGACAAGCGGGAAGGTCGAGGAGGTAGTTGTCAACCAAGTTTTTTAGCAGTACTTCTCTCTTTCACCCACGTGATTCTCTGCTGTTGTGACGGTATTACACAGCAGCAGCTTTATGCGTGTAATCTGATCCGGCGTTTGCACGCGTCTGACGAAATACGCGTCGATGCGGAGGCAAGGTCGGAACCTTTGCAATTCCGGCTATTGTTGAAAATCAGATTAGACTGAGAAACGGACAGGAGATCAGCAGCAGCGCATAGCTTGCTCTTATCGATCGCGTCTCCTTCACTTCGAAAGACACACTTTTTCTCTCTCTCTCTCTCTCTCTTTTGCTGATCTCATCCAAGATATCATTTTTCCATTCTCTCTCTCTCTCTCTGGCTTTGGATCATTGTGAAATAGCAGGCTTTCAAGGTGGGAGAATATCTCTCTCGTGATACTCCGAATTTTCCGACAATCGCGTCGATGCTTTTTTCTCACAATTCTGGGGCGTGAGAAAATAAACAAGAATCCGATTAACGAAAATTTTGTTTATCAAGGAACAAACAACACCCACGGGTCTGTCTATCAAAACATACCCACAGTACTAAAAGCTGCACAGTGTCTTTAGATAATCATCGTAGACTGACATTGGGTGAGAACTATTTATTGTTAATGTCAAAAGCTCATACGTGCGTAAACTTTTGCTTGCAGGCATCGCAATAGTTTTTTCGCTCTCCTGCTTATTCGGAAAGGATCGATGAGCTTTTAATAAGCTTGCCGTGTAGTCGATCTGGCGATAACGATGCGTATATTTCTAAGCTGTCAAATTCGTTTTTATTTTCCAGCTTTCAAAAAATATCCTGCCAATTAAAACACCACTTTCGAGTTGCGTTTCTTCTTTTTTTCTTCAACGGTCATTAGTAAACACGTTTGCAAAATAGTTTGATACACGGAATAATCTTGCGAAATATAGATCATCAAAGTGCAGCATACACCGATGTATAAATCGATCTTAATATTTGCACTTGCACGATTTATATTCCCGCGCGCGCTTGGAATAATCATAATTCTTGCATATCAATCGCCGCACAGCGATCTCTCGTGTAAATAGAAAGCAATTCCCTTAATGAGCGCTCATTGTTTGTAAACTTCCTCTTGATCGCTGTTGCTGCAACGTCTAAGCATTGATGAATTTTTTTTCCTTTTGGTCAGTCCACGAGTAACCTTCAGGCATCGGCAGCGTCATTGCATCGATGGTAAATCGTTACTTCCATTTTCGTTTTGATCTAATGAGCTGGCTCTTTCTTGCTTTCCAAGTAGTCATTCTCACAATCGAACGCGCGGCCGCTTTATCGAGAGCAAATAGCAATCAGACCAGATTATCTTTCAACGGCCAGCAGCTCTATTTGTAGTAATAATTATAAGATAAACATCGCTGGTATTGCATTGTCTCGTTAGCTACCATTACTCATTGCGAATTTTTCAAATCTTTCGCACCATTATTATTATGATCGGCAGCTGCCACTAAAAGGAGCCCATGGCGAGCGATCGATCGATTGGTGTGTAGCCCGTTGAGAGTCCAAGGATCTGTTGCATCATGAAGTTGCTTCCGTTCGTGAAAGGGAAAGAGAGGAAAATCAGCGGTTGGTCTACTTTTACGTTTAGATATCCAATGAGATCTGATCTGCAACGCGCGTGCACGCAACGTAATAGATCCGTTTTCAAAAGAAATGACGCGCCCCTGCCCCAGTACGAGAACTGAAAGTATCTTTGCGTATATACCTGCTTTTAACCTTGATGCCTAGGGTCGACAGAAAAAAAAGGACTGTTATTATTTTCGCATCACGTCGACGCTTGTAGGACTTATGGTGGTAGGGTAGATTAAATTTTGAAGAAAATGTTTGTTTTGCTTGTCGTCGTCGTCGATGAATTTTTTCTGAGCGATTTGAATAAATTGGGAAATAACTGGAGTGCCTGAGACAGGTGTCCGTTTTTTGGACGTTGAAAATTTTTCAATTGGCATTGAGAAGAATGTTATTATTTTGCTAAGTTTTCCTGTGGGACTGACGTGATAAATAAACGTTTTTAGTTTAGTCTATCAACTTTACAATGAACAAAGTTCTGTCCAATCGGCAAACGAATGTTCACAAATCAAAACTGAAAGCTTAATGTAATTTCGATGTAAGATTCGATTCTACCTTTCTATTTCCTTTCTAAAACAAGTCAAACAGATGGAATACAAATTTTCTCCCGCCAAAATCATTAAAGAAGTTCAATGGAATTTGTATTGAAATCTTTTCAGGTCAAGTGTTTTAATTCCGTTACAAAAAAAATTATCCTTCGAGAATCGATGAATAACGAAAAAATGAATTAATGAAATGATAAAAAAAGTCCTAAAAGTAAAATGCATTCCTTTTTTCACCATACAATTTTATCAAACGAATAAAAATAAAATTACCTTTAACTTAAATTTTTAATTTTAGTATTCATCATAAGTCTAAATACTACGAAATATCTCACGCACGGGAGGTATAACAGAAAAAAATGAGCTTAGCAAGATTATAGCCATCAATAATATTGCTACAGGTACACGGCTGTCTACCGGCAATGGGTTACAGTTTCGCAGCTGGCACGACAGACGGTCCAGGCTCGTTCGCCTTCGAGCAAGGCACAACCACGTCCAATCCGTTCTGGAACACCGTGCGCAATTTCCTAGCTAAACCGACGGCCGAAGATATTCGTTGCCATGGTGCGAAGCCAATTCTACTAGCCACCGGTCGTGTGAGTATTCTACTTTTATTTCTTGTTTTGGCAATGCATAGCTGCGTCAGCTCGCGCCAACTTGCTGTACGCGATAAATTACCTATGGCTTCTTACCACAGAAAAGAAGAACGATCATGCTTGCAACGTGATTTTATCGTTTACGGGGAAATAAGTTGTTGTAAGTTCTGATTATGTGTCGCTTGTGCATGATGAAAAGCTTGCCTGTGTTATAAATAAAAAGATTTTCTATTGTATACGAGTTGACAAGCAATCGCTTTGTCCAATATATTTTATTAAAATTCCTTTTTGGTATGGAAATAAAATAAAATTAATTGATTAAATGCAAAACGTGCAAGAATATTAAATTTTCATGGATGATCTGTTGTACGTTATCTTGAAATAAAGCTCACCAAAGGACATTGAGCTTTTATTGATTATGCCATGGGTACTTCAAAAACGGCAAGTGCAGTTTACTAAGCAAATTCAAATCTTTTTAGCTTTAAAAGATTTTTCTGGTATATATTTTCGGTGTAATATCTTGAACTTATTAATATTTTAACGATCGTAGTATACAAAAATAAATTCATCGACCAAATAATCTTTTAGTGCAGCATTGATTAACAAGTGTAGTCCTCTTATCAAACTTTTTCCTCGTAAAAAAACATTATCACGTTGAAATTTATTCAGGCGAAGTATCCAAAAATAATCCAAGGCTTGTTATTAACGTTCAATAAGACATCTCTCGCGATGCGATTCGCATTAAGCATTAAACGAAGTTAGAAAGCCAAGTGCTGGTTAATTACCTTTATATAAATATAGTTTAGCAGAGCACGGCGTAACCTGGCGTAACAACTCTCAGAAAGGGTGAGAATGCTTCATTAGTTCGAGGCTATTACAGCAAACGTTGGAGGGTCATTATTATGATGATTATTATGTTTTGCGAAATCGCTGACTATCGCGCGGCTCTTTGTTTCTGTAAATGACAGAATAGTAGGCGCTCGTTTGAAATACAAACAGTGTGTATGAAATGATGCTCTATGTTCCATGTTTCTTTAAATGTTCGTTCGCGCGTGTAATTAGGCTTTCGTTAATTGCATGCTAGCAAATACAGTGCGCGATATAAGCTTTGACCAACTGAAACGCGCGTAAGTCCGTATGGAAATATGAAATCGCTTGTGTATCTGAGTCTTCATTTCGCGTTTGACGTATTATCAAGGATATTCGTGAAAATGCAATTTGAAACATGTTACTAGAAGCTCTGCAAAATCACCAAACTCGATAGAAGTTATATTCTATATGACGTTCTATTTTTATGCACGAGAATAACTAACGATATCAGTGCAATATGAAGAAAACGAAACACTGACTTTCAAAAAAAAATCAAATTCAGGGCATGAAGGCGTGTAAAAAATATTATATTGATCCTGTAAACCTCGTACATAATGCATAAAAAATAAAATAATAATACGATACAGATGGTGCTACCATATCAGTGGCAACCAAAGATTGTATCAACGCAACTGGCACTAATTGGTAATGTGGTATTGGCTGGGGTGCCGGGTGAGTTCACGACGATGTCTGGCAGGCGACTACGCGAGTCTGTGAAAAAGGCTATCACACGAGTAGATTCATCCCTTGAGAACATTAACGTCATCATCGCTGGACTCTCCAATACATACAGCGATTACGTTGCCACTCCCGAAGAGTATCAGGTATTTATGTGCTTTGAATATTACATATAAGGTTGCAGTCGTATAGTTTTCACTACAAAAACAATTTTTAAATTAAAAAGATTAGGTTTTGAAATGAGTATACAGCAAATTAAAGAATTTCATTTTATTTCAATTAACAAGCCACAAAAATGATCTAAAAATGAATACGTTTTATTACTCATATCGACGAGTGCTCGATAAAGTAAAGATTGACCCTTGTGCCAAGCATGTAAAAAACAAAATAAAAAAAAACAAAAAATACGAAAGTTTTGAAATTGTAAATTAAGCAATTTTTTTATAGTGTTCTTTTATGAAGCTATTTTTATCTGCAGGTAATTGTTACGAATTTTATGTATTTTATTATGTTACTCTAGATATGAAAATTATTTTGTTATTTATTTCACGGAATACGTAATTTGAAATTGAAAAATATCGAGGTTCCTTTGTATTCTAATATCTTTCCCGATCCTGTAAAATTTTAATTTCGTACTAACCATCTATACGTACACAACAAAAGCAAATAGAAAACAATTTCCATGTAGAACTTTTATTACTCTCTTGTATGCTACTGACCATGAAAAGCAAAAATCAATAATATGACGTAAATTTCAATATTACAAATTAAACTGGACGATCAATAATTATTTCTCGCAGATTCAGAGATATGAGGGAGCATCAACGATATTCGGGCCGCACACATTGACCATCTACCTAGAGCAATACGCCGAACTTGCAGAGGCACTCGTAAAGGTATGTACTTGCACCGCATAAATTCGTAAAATCTCTTTTATCTCTTCTCTTGCTTTGAATACTAAGTATTTAATCAAATTTTTCCTATACTTATATGTGCGTGTTTATACACAGAGAACGACTGTTGACCCTGGACCAACTCCACCCGATTTATCAAAAGTAAAGTTAATCAGTTTGGTGCCACCAGTTATTTACGATTCGCCTAAATGGGGCAAAGAATTTGGTGATTGCGTCAAACAACCACCACGCACTGCTAGGCCTGGCGATACTGTCAGTGTCCGATTTGTAAGTATTGTAAACTATATATGAGTATAGTGGATGAATATTTTGTGTTTATAAGTAAAAAAATGCCTTTCACTCTTCACAAAACTCGATTTTGTCGAATATTTGAATGATTTTGATAGCAGGTAAAATAATTGTTATAATTTTAATTTTCTATTTATTATTGGATTATATTTATGTCACTAGAAAATACTTATAATTATGTAATTATTTAATTAAACGTATTAATTTACTAGAGCATTAGATATATTTAATTACATAGAAAAATTGTAATTTTTTACCTCTCCAAAGGTCAATTTGTTAACTTTATATTTGACATTAATTTTAATTTTATATTTAATTTCATGCAATTTTAATTTTATTTTATATATGGTTTTGGTGAATGCAAAACATTCGTAATTACACTTACTATGTTGTTTAAATTTTAAATATAAATTTTTTTAAATTTTTTGTATAAAAACAGAATTTAGAACAAAGCTTCCTCTACAAAAAAACAAAATATTAAATAAAAAATGTTAAAAATTATCAAGACTTTTTCTCATTAAGAGTATTGAAATCTTCATCGTCAACGTTTTTTTAAGAGAAGAATGGAATTCGAGAGTGAAATTATCCACCATTTATTCCACCATTTTTTTCCGCACAGTAGATTCACCGGTATGTCAGGAATTTCATTGCAATTTGCAGTATTAGCGCTGGTTTGAAAAAAACCAAAATAGTTAAGATAAGTTATTTTAATTAGTAATTACTCATATAATGTGGAACGTGGATATATAATATATACTTTTTTTGGTTAAAAATTAATAAGCCTTAAATCTGTTGAGTTTGCCGAAAGCAATCTGAACAATCTTTCAAAGATGATTTTATCTAACGTATCATTGAGTCAATTTAGTCGTGCGCGGAATTCAGCGCGGAAAACGGATCATGCGTAACGAAACGGAAGCAAACTTTTTCCCATCGTACATAAAGGCGTTGACAAAAAATACAACGTTATATGCATTGCTCTATCCGTCTCTTTTTTCACAAAATTCCATGCCTTATACGCATTTTTAAAGACTAACTTACTGCCGAAATGATCCTGTGCTTATTAAGTGACGTTTGAGCGATTGTTAATAAAACGAGAATAGCCGTTTTCTCGATTGCATTCACGTGCCAGTTTGACATGCGCGCTGAAAGATTATATATGTATATCCACGGCGAAGCTCGACGATTGTATAAGATTTTTACGTAAAAATGCCCTCGTTTTGGTGCAAAAACATATTGCATGCTCTCTCTCTCTCTCTCTCGCTTGTAAAAGGATAACACATTTATTACGCAACTGTCGGAACGAGCTCAAATGAAATTACTCGAGCATGTAATAATTTTATTTCCCATTTTCACATGCCGATGCACTCACCGAGATTGAACGTATTTCTCCCTCGGTCTCTTTTGGTTTTCATGCGGCACATTCGCTTCAAGATTATGTGGCGCAGGATTATGCGCACTCAAGACGAATAGCTACTCTATGGATATATATCGATGCGCATGTTTGCAAAGTTATTATACATATCGCATATGGACCATTTATTTCGCAAAATGCTTTCGAAGTGATTGAATTTCCGATGCTCTTTCCCTGTATGCATGCGAGTATTTTATTGGGAATATTTCTCAGTTTTCTCTTGTGCTACTTTGGGTTTTTCATTCGTTGCTCTTTCGTTTCTCTGAAAATTTATTGACAAGAATGTTGCTCTAGAGAAGAATCGATAGACACCTCAAGGATAGCTTTTTTATAGAGTTTTTCAAAACCAAGACACTGTGAGGCATTATCACTCTAAGCTGAGAGCGTGATGTAAAAAAGCGTCATGTCTGTGATAGTCGATTTATCGAGTGCCGTTTTGAATGACGATGCCAGCACCGTTTAAGCGTGCATCCTTCAGGTTCCAACGGAGTAAACGCGCGGTTGTACGCGTCACGCAAACTATAAACGGGTCGATAATCTACCCTCACGGGGCATTACGCTTGTCGTGGAATTCTTTGCTTTCTTTGCGATTATAAATTTTTATGATTCTTGAAGAATGTTATCGTTTTTTTTTTCAGATTTCCGGACATCCAAGAAACAATTTTATGACTGGAAATACGTATCTAACTGTCGAGAGATTGGAGGAAGACGAAACTTGGACGCCAGTTGCTACAGATGCTGATTGGGAGACCAAGTAAAACGACAATCTATATTCAAATTAAGCACGTACTATTAATCAAAACAATAATGATAAAAATGTCCATTTCTAGGTTTATTTGGGAAAGAACTTCAGTAATACTCGGTTCTAGTCATGTAATAATTAAGTGGGAAATTCCCGAAAATGTTATACCAGGGGAGTATCGTATTCGACACAATGGTTACTACCGTTACATCCTTGGTGGAGTATATCCATATCAAGGAGTCACTGATCATTTTCAGGTAAATTCACTACGACAACAAGAAATATAAAAGATTTTGTTTTGTTCCTATTGATAATTTTACTTGTAACAATTGTAGGTAAAAACGCCTTACTTGAATTACTGATAAGTCTTTGCTATAATAAATTCAACGACTAAAAGACTTGAGATATATTCGAGAATGAACAAACGAAAACCACTGAATAGAAGTAATGAAGAGGAAAAAAGTCTTGCCAGTGGAATAAAAAAAGTTTATGTGCTTTACTTTGAAAAAAGTTTCGCGGTATTCACTTTAAAGAAAACAGACTACTCTTTAAAAAAAACAGACTACTCTTTACAAAAAAACTACTCTTTATTCGTGTACTACAAAATAGATTCTTTTGAAAGTGATTTCAAAAAAACTAATTACTGACCACTATCGAGACGTTGAAAAGAAATTTAACTACGTAGAATCGACTTTTAAATTTAATTATGTGTTTTGAAGACTTTTATTGAAATAAGTTCTAAAAGACTTTTCATCGTTAAATTCATTCCAGATTTCATTAACTTTCATATAGAGTTAAACGTAGATTGCACTGTTTTGTAAATAAATTTGATTGATGTTTAATTTTTATATCATTTATTCTTATATATGCGGAAAGATTTGACTACTGCCAAAATATTTATGTAAATCCCCTTTTTTTTATAACCATAACAGTTATAAGATAAATTTTACAAGAATCCAATGTTTGTATGTGAGATCCAATCTTTTATAGATTAAAATAGTCAATAATATGATAAAATTACATAGCGTTTTCCCAGGGTAAGTTTATAATAATTTCTACTTCATATGAAAAATAATAGTTACATATTACGAAGATAAAAAAAGTATCTGACAATCCGAATTATAATTATAGATTATGTATGAATGATAATTAATTGTCGTCATAATTTTTTAACGCAAACGGTAGTGGAAATTTAAACTACATAAGATATAAGATGTCATTATGAGTTAAAAATATTGATTATAATAAACTATATTTATATAGAAAAATGAGTGTTACTTTGTCATGATTGTTCAAAAAATATTATAATTTTGAAAGTTATTACTTTAAATCATGAGTTTATCGAAAAATATGTACTAGATTTATAGTAATTTTTTTATACTTTTAATTTTTTGCACAAACGTCTTTCAAAGCGTTATAAATACTCAGAAAATGTAAGTCGCAATTATTTTTGTTGAGAAAGTTGAATATTTAATTGTTCTCGTCATTTATTCGCACGATTTCACTTGTCATTACAAAGTAATCGTATATGCTGAGAACTACCGGTATTGCAAGGTTTGTTCAAATAAGAGAATTCTAATGAACTGCAGAATTGAAAATTTAATTAAACCAAAAAAGCTTTAAAATAATTTTCAAAGCATATAATAACAAATTTAAAAAATGTATTTATTCAAACTTTTTAGGATAAATAAAATTTTGGATCATTCAAACATAATACTACAAACCATTTTTTGAATCGTGTAAATTCTTCGACAATATATCATTCATAAATAAATTCGCTAGATATTTCAAATGTAAAAACTTGATTGCTGAGTCACAAATTAAAACCTGTCTTTTTAATTGCATCCAGAATAGAGCACGTATCATCAGTTAAAAATTCAATCATATCTCACAAATTGTTTTATTTTTTCCAAAGATTAAATCGACATCTTCGTAATAACAACAGCACATTTATACATATTAATAAATATACTGGTTAATAAACTTTGTAAAAAAAGGAAAACTTCTGACTTGACAACATTTTCTCTTTTTTATTCTTTATTATGTATAAAAACCGACAGATTTATTTGTAAACAGAAATGTTAAAAAGATTTTATTTTCAAAGAAAAATAAGAAAGTGACATTTCCAAAGTCATTGTTGAATTAAATTAAATATTTTTTCTCGAACACCGTTTAATGAAGAATATAATTAAATTAAAACAAAACGATTTAACAGATAACTTCACGTTTTCCTTGACTCTGAAAGAAATATTTACTTCTTGAAATGAAATAAATTACTTAGTTTAACACTAGCAACTTTTGCATGCTTGTGTCAATCCTTAATTGTCATTTCTCCAGCTTTACAAGATGAGTGTGACAGATTATTATTATTATTATTGAAATAATTACGTTCATTTAAAACTACATAATTTTCCATAATACAACATATTATCTGATATATACGTACGGAGACACACACACATATGAGCCAAAAGAATATGGAATGTATTTTAAATGACATCTATTAAAAGTTTATTGATTGTAATCTCCGATCATCGATATAACAAAAATATTTTACCATGACAGGAACGGTAATCGTTATGCCCTTTTATAAAGAATTTCTGTTAAAAGTATTTTAAAATATAAAAATTTATATTGAGAATGTTCGTATAAGCAAAGAATCCGGAAAGAAACGCTAGTAAATGTCTCTGGAGAACAGAAAGTTTAGTTTGCATGTTCATATACAATAGTAATATACGAGTACCAGTAGGCAGATGTGAATCTATACGTGAAGATCTTTCGACATATGCTCTGGCTGTCTCAGGATATGTATGTATATATATTGCTAACATAGTTTCGATACTTTCGGTGATAAATAAATAAAAAGCTTCTGATGTTGTTTTATCGTCCGTACTTTGAGCTTTTTAATAATGAAGTTTGTATAGAAAAGGCTATTGAATTTTTCTTCTCGAGACGGATGGTTACTCGTAGATGAAAAAGTTAATGAAGCTAGACTTTTGTAATCATTATGCTAAGTTAGTCATTAGCATAGCTGATTAAAAAAATTTATCATATCTATTTTGAAAAATTCATTTAGCATAGTTACTCGTTAAGATTCTTTGAAATTATTTTAAGGGACTAATATAAAATAGGATAGGAAGTTGGATAGAATAGGATAGGTTTTATTATTATTTGCATACTCTTTCTTTTAAAGCAAAAGTTAAGCTTTTTATTGAAAGATAAATGATAAATAAATGGAAGCTGATAAATATTGAAGTATATAATTTCTTACCAGTGCTAGCGAATAATTTTATTTTACCAAATTTAGTAATTTCATTAGTTGAAAAAGATAGATATTTACTCGACATTTAATTAAAAAGTGAGTAAACTCGTGTGAACGCCCAAGCATATAAGATAAAAGAGTTTTATCTCTGACCTGCCTGAAAGAATGAAAAAGTGCTCTCACTATTCTCGACACTGGCAAATCGCAAAAGAAAGACAGTGGCTGCGGTGTTCTCGACAATTTTGTTGTGTTCATCCGAGTGTAAAAAAAGAGTCAGTTGCTTAACTGAATGAGATAGCCTCCAATGAACACTGACCCTCAGAATATAACACAGCTACATCGATACTTCATTTTAATGGAGCTAACAATGCTCAAATTAGTGGAAAATTATTACAAAGATACTGGTAATTATTAATATAACGTATATCTTGAATAATAAGCTTATTTTGAATATTCCATTGTAATACTCAAAACTTAAACGTAAGATTAATTATTATTTTGATTTATGACTGTTTATAGTAAATATTTCGATCTTCAATTTTACAAATACAACTTTGCAATTTTTATATTCAATTATGGATTAAAAATGAATATAAGCTTGGTTACAAATTGTCTTTTTTATCTTTTTCACGGACGATTTATGAGTAATGGCTTTTTAGCTAAAACAATTACAAAGTATAGGATAAATAATGCTCAATTCGACATTATTTGTAACTTTTTCAAATCCACATATAGTTTCAGTGATCGATCTTAGGATCTCACCATGAAGAAATTAAATGCCGTTGATATATATTGCAATTGATACGCGTACGGCTTAATTTAGAATTGATATAAGGCAAATAACATTGATTTTTCGTATCTCTTAACGAAGTAAAAAAAGCAATACTATTTCCTTCTGTACTCGTTGATTGTAAACCACGCTACATTTTCCCTCGCAAAACTTCGATACGAATTTCCTGATGCGCTTTAGCAAGCGAACGAGTTATTGTTTACAATTGATTTCTGTACTAGAGGGGAGAAGGCGATAAATCTACTTGCTTCGTCCGGTGCAAAAGCGAGTTACGATCGCTCCATGCCAAATGTAAACGAAATTTCGCCGAACAAACATATATATTATCGTTATCTTGATAACAGGTCGAGAGATTTTCGCGCCTCTTGCATCCGTTCAACGTTTTCACCTCAAGCCAATTGTATTCTAAGCAGTGCTCGCTTTTTCACTTGTCTGCGAAAATGCGCCTTGCCGTAACATCTCTCTCTCTCTCGTTCTCTCCTTTTCAGCGAGTATCCGGTTTTGTGGGCACCTCTTTTTTTTCGTGTATGTTAAAATTAATTGAGATGGAGAATTGTTTCAGCCAAAATTAACGAGGGATTCCCATTGATACGCCTAAGTTTAAAAAAATAATTTATACGAGGCTGTAGAAAAGCTTTGTGTCAAAATTTATAGTTGAATCGAATAGTTTCTTGTGTAAATTTATTATTTTCAGCCGATTAACAATTATCTAATCAATTTTTTTGCTTAGCCCAAATTTCGATATAGAATTGATGATGATACTGTCATATTCTGAAGCAGTTAAATTAAAATTATCAACCGACAGTATAGCTTGAAGTAGGATAATTATAAGTTAAATTACATTTATGTTGTAGTTTCTTGTTTAATAGTCATTTAGTTTCTTAAAGTACATTTTCATTTTATCTAGAAGAGGTCCACTTAATAGCTAGATATATTTGAGTAAAAAATGGTTCTAATCTAATTCAGCATCCAATCCCTCTCCGTTCGTATAAGCTCTTATTTTTCGAATTTATCTCACTTCTATAATTTTATCTCTTTGTCCGGGCAACCCTTGTACGAAGTTCAATGTTCCCTTTCCCGACCGATATTTACCAAAAAGCTTAATCGTGGCTCAGCGCGTCTGGCAACTATAACGCAAACACGTGAAAGTTGTGAAATGCACGTGTTTACTTGAATTGAAGTAGCATCTGTCACGTCTGCTATCGGAAACAATTGTTAGCATTCTCCAATCCTAAATAAAACAGTACAAATCTACGAATGCATAGCAAATATGATAAAGCTAGTGAATTTCATTTGGAGCCATTGCGTTATTCAATTTTCTCTACGGTACTCTTCGTAATTCGATTCAGCGCCCACCGAAATTGATTTATGAAAATTGATAAGAGCTGACCACGCGTCTGAGAATTGGCTGAGATTGCTGCGGTCAGGTTCAAGATCAACCACATCTGTTTTTATGCCTCTTTACTCGGAGTAACAGATCTTTCTTGGCGTTGCGAACGACGCCTGAAAATTAATTCCCGAGCGACACTCATCAAAGTTTATAACGAATTAAGAGAGGACATTTTTCAAAGACAAAGAGATAGAACAACGGATTTTTATTGAAGGTAATATCGAGTCTGGCGCCCGTATTATTTTCACGTTCGCTTTGACAATCGATTTTCGTATATAAACGTCCTTCAAGATTTATACCCGCAGGATTTAACGCAAAAGGTTGAGTCAACTTTAGGGTCGTTTTCACACGTTGAGAGAATAACAAATGATGTAATGGTATTAGTGAATTAACAAAAAAGATTTAGCTTGATACGAAGATAACTCTTCACTGCTTTTGTATTTATGAGAAGTTTTACCCATAAAATTATTTTATTAATAAGTTAAAAAACCAAACATACTTACATAATTTTTATAAAATGTAGCGGTCATTAACTTTTTTTACTAAACAAAGTGCCATTAAAAAAAGTTTTTCTTTTATTCTCCATTTTTTTTTCAAACAAAAATAATGATAGCATCGGCTATAAGTTCTTTCTTATTTCATTCATTTTTCACGCATAAGCTAACAAAAAAGTTATGATTATGAGGAAATAAATTGATCAAGGCATCATTTTTAATTATCATTTTCTTAATTATAATGCTTACGTAATTTGTAACTTTGTCCGGCATAAAGGCAATATTTAATCATACAATAAATGCTATCAATCAACATTTGATTTAACTTTGATCTTATGTTTAATCAATCAAATCATGTACACATATTGTTTTAAATAAAAAAATTTATTTGGGTCATTTTAGTTTTTATTATTATTACTTTTACAGATGAACACTAATGCATATTAAACTTTGGTTGTGATGTTACGTTTGTAAGTTTTATTCGCTATAATAGATTGTATACCGTGAAGGTATAAGATACAACTGAATCTTGGACCAGTTTTAAGAAATTGTGGCTCCGTTAATTTTTAATATTTTTTCACGCGGGAGACATAGTCAAACATTTATAATTTCAGAAATTTGTAAAGATTTGGTATATGATATAGGTCATAAGTGGGAGCTACAATGATTAAATGATTCATTATTTTAAAAATCAAAAGGTAAATTATTTTTCAAATATTTCTAATTTTATTGCATTAATTAAAATAAATAGCAGCTTAAGTTAATTCTTAAAAAGATTAAAAATATACCGTTTGAAAACTTTAAAATAATAAAAATTAACAAATTATCTTGATGCCTCTTTAAAAATTACTTCCAAATTTATCTTATGATGCATAACTATATATCAAGAGTGCGTGTGATTTAAGTTTTGGTATGCTTTGTTTAAGTATTTTCTGGTTGTCGTCAAATATTTTTGGAATGGATCAAATAAATAGTGTCACATAGATAAAAAAGAGATAAAAATATGCAAAGCTATAATTTTCGAAATATCATTTATATAGATTAAAGATTACAGTTTCTTGTTACGTCATATTTTTACAACTTGAAATCTATGTAATTAACCGATAATTATCTGAATAGTATCTAGTTTCTCTGCAAATAAAAATCATTATTACGCTATTTTGGTAAGAAAGGATATGATAACCAATGAATTTTTTTCCCTTTAATTTTTAAATTCAAATAATTCCTGTTGCACCTGTTCAAATTGATGATGCATGAAAATTCTTCCATACATATTTTCGAAAAATCCAATAATCTATATAGCAAAGAATCCAGGAGTTCCAGATTTTTCTTTGAAATGATACAGAGATGAACAAAAAATAATTTATGAGTAGCATTTATTTACAAATGTGAGATGACCTTAATATCATTTTCTTTTAGTAAGTTTACGAATTATTATGAATGAATGTGCTTTCACGACCAAAGAGAATTACTGGTATATTTTCCATGCTTTCACTGTAGGAGTTTATCATTGAGCCTGGTGAAATGGTATATTCATAGATTTTTTTTCGCTTGTTCTAAGTATATTTGAGTGTGCAAAAAGTATCTCAATTACAATCATGTGATCAAGTTGACTTCTTAGGAATAATCAGAATAAACATGGAAAACATCCAGACGAGGCCATCTATGTAATGAGTATTTTTGTCATTCGATATTATTTTGAGATGAACCGAATCTAATCAATTTCTTCTTTCATTTTTAAAATACCGAATGATTGTGATAACTACCACTTGAATTATTCGTTCGATTATTTTATGGAAATCTTTATTACTTTTTTTACTAACTAAATATAATCTTTTGTTTTTATTGAACATGTTCTAAGTAAATCTATGAATCGAAGGCATCGATTGAATGATACGTTAATTTATTTCTGATTGAACTGTGAAAAGTAGCCTTGAGTTTAAAACATATTGATTATTAATTATTCAATCCATATAATTAAATATGATAAATATATCTAGCATTTATAACGTGAATAAATACATAAAATTGATGAAACAAATAATGTATTTTTCGTTGTTAACTGGTTTGCAGATAATTTGAAAAAAATCACCTTTCAAAGCTTTTTACTGAAAATATTAGAAAAATGTACACACTAACTAAATTAGAACTTAGCGATCAAATAGATTTAATCTTCACGTAGATATAAATTTATCGGTAAAAGAAAATGTTGGATTTCTTTTTAATCTGACCAATCCTTTATTAATATCGCGATGTCTTTCATAGTCGATGAATATTTTAGGAGATAATCGTACCTATAAGTCACAATTATTTAATTTTATCCTCTTTATTTTTCCATCGCGCTTATTTATTTATTCGAATATAATAAATCCGTTCAAAGTTTGAGTCGCTCGATATCCTCAAAGAATTCTAATTAGCCTTTCTACTTAACAACCACGCACGCGCAGTCGCGAAGTAGGGGTAGCGTGCAAGCTCCCCACCGCTCTCTTGCAAGCTCTCGCAAGCATATATACATCCACTCAGTATACGCTTTGTCGGAAAAAGAGAAAGATAGAGCAGTGTTGAAGTTCGGTATTACGCTCCCTCTGTTACTGTGTGCGGGCATCCCTTGCTCGCCCTGAAGCATCGCCGTTTGCGCGCATGTGGCGCTCGGTCGTCCCGCCGAATGACAAGCCGCGGCGCAACGGCAAGCGAGCTGCCCGAGCGTCAGTTGTCGCTGCGACAAGTGAGAGAGCACACCGATGCTGACAGAGCTGATGATACGCTACTATTTCGAAATCCCACGGGCAGTCGAATTCAAGTTTAACTCAAGATGTACATGTACACTTAGTTTGTTTTAATTGCTGCGAGGAAAAATATATAATTTTCACTTTCCACTTTGAATCGTGAGGTGTTTTGCTACTTTGTGGACTATTTATTTAAGTGTTTCAAGTGAATAAATTCTTGCCGCTCCAATGACGGATGGATAATTAAAGTTGTTAAGAATTGTAAAGAAGCAACAATGTATTGTGACTCAAGGGCGGCGACCCCGCCGTAAACTCCCAGTAACATAAGTTAATGTTGATAGATTCTAATAAAAATTAAAGGAAAAAAGAATCATGAATGATTCGTACGAAATCTTCAACGAGTCGTTCGTGAACGACAACACGACAATAACGGCAGTAGCAATTGCTGGTGATGTGAATGTGCATCACACTATTTACAAATTATACGGCCCAGTTCGAGATCCACTTTACGTGGTGATCCCGATCAGCATAATCTACGCGTCGATATTCGTTACGGGAATAGTTGGCAACATCAGTACCTGCATCGTCATCGCGCGCAACAAGTCAATGCACACCGCGACCAATTATTACCTGTTCAGCTTGGCAGTCTCCGACCTGTTGCTCCTAGTGCTCGGTATACCACCTGAAATCTATATGGTTTGGTACAAGTATCCATATGTTTTCGGTGAGACGTTTTGCGTGGCTAGAGGTTTCGCGGCTGAGACCTCGACTAACGCCTCGATATTAACAATCACGGCTTTCACAGCCGAACGATACGTTGCCATTTGCCATCCGTTCCTTTCGCAGACAATGTCCAAGCTTTCACGCGCGATTAAGCTGATATTGTTGATATGGGTGATAGCACTGATATGCGCGGTACCTCAGGCTGCGCAAATTGGTATTGTGCCGTACGGGGAGAGAGACGATGAAGTGATGTGCGTGTTTAAACCGATAAACATGAAAAACTGGTATGAATCGATGAGGGTGATCATGGAACATTCTTTCGAAATGTCCACTTTTTTATTTTTTATTGTGCCAATGGGAATCATCATGGTGTTGTACATACTGATTGGTATGAAATTAAAGAAATCGACTCTCATGAAGAGGAGTAGTCAACAAACGTTTAGAAGATCCGAAAGTACCAGGGTCAAGGTTGGCGGCTCCAGAATGAATAGGCACTGCAGGCGGCATAACAGATCTACGTCGAGGGTCGTCCGTATGCTGGGTAATTCATAAATCTTTTTCTTTTTAATTCGAATGCCAAAGACCATTAGAAAAGTATGCTTTCGTAGAATTGTTTAACACGCATTGCATCTCACGTTCCTACCTACGGCTCCGTCAAGTTTTCCGGCTGAATCATATTATTTTAAAGCTAATAGTTTGATTAAGATAATATCTAATATTAATCTAATTGCTAACATCACATATTTTAGGAATGCTGTATTATAATAAGGCAGTATCGAGTAGAAAGAAAATCAACAGTCGTAAAATTCAAAGTTTATTTTGATAAATTTAGCTCTCCGACGAAAATAATCTATTAAGACTACACATGGAGAGACAGCTTTATAGCCGGAGGCTATTTTGAGTCCGTCAAAATCTTCCTATATTTGTCCTAATGATCAGTAACAAAGTGAAAACTTTGAACCCTTTTGAGTGCGGTAAAGTTTTGCCTGTCTCACGTGATTATAGAAAAACAGGGAAGGAGAACGAACTTGCAGCGGTTCAACTTAATTGATCGTTCTGTGTGCTTGGAATATATTGGATAAGGCAATGAAACAACGGCAATACTGAATTATGCTAAGAAGCAGGTGGCTTTTTTTGCTGCCATGACTTTTTTCTTGCTGTTGGCGTTTCCTTGACGTGCTTTGAAAAATGATAACTCGTGAAAAATCTGAAAAGGAAGATAGGAAAAGATTTAGTTAAACAATCATTAATGATGCTGTCGATATGATGTTTTTTTTAATTGTTGTTCAGCTTTATTATTAAGCTGATCGAAATTGCGATTTTACGTACAGTTTCCGGATGGTATAATAGTTGAATATTGAATCAGTATATTTTCTACTAAGTAAACATAATTGATTTTAATTAGTTTTTATATCTATACCACATGCACGTATGCGTATGCATACATTTTTTAAAAAAAGCCAACTGAGTAAATATTTATTTCGTATTTTCATGGCTACGACACTTTTTGTTGCTTCATCTCTGCCGAAAACAAAGCCTTTTTAATGCTTGACTAGTCAATAATAACATAAAATAAACATTTATTTCATTCGTTTATTATTAAATTCTGATTACAGCTCTCTGAAACAGATTAAGCCTGACGAATGATTGTATGTGTGTTTCGTTCATGATGTAGTTTTTGTCACATTATGTTAAAACTGACATATCGCTCGGCAAGTGCAAAATAAAAGCTCTAGTAAAATTAACATTGAGTGCATTGCACTTTTACATTTTTTATTCATGTGCACAAGGAGAACGGTAAATGTTGCAAGAAATTACACAAAAAAAAGGATTTACAAGGGGACATTAACACTCTTGATACGCATCAGATAAAACCATATAATTATAGGAGAAAACTTTCCTTTGGTGCATCGGTCTAATATAAACTTTTTTCATAAAAATACTGTCGTGCAGACAATTGTGGTTTTATTATACACACAAGCTACTGCGCGCGGTAATATGGCACGAAGGAATTCTTACGCTGTTACTGTATACAATAGTTTCTATGTATAATGAAACCATGCACAACTATCTGCACATCAAAAATACTTTCGATCGATTTTTACTAGTTCCAAGAGAGAAAAGAAAAAAAATTGCCGAAGCATCTTAAGTTTTGACCGGTTTCTTTCCATCATTTCCAGTAGCAGTGAATTCATTTTTCTACGCTGTGAGAGATGTGAATCATATTGAATTGAGTTTGGAAATACGGGAGGAGTAGAGAGCGCGGAAAAAAGGTCGCTAAGAGGTCGACTTGGCTACGCCATTCAATCCTTTTTTTCCCATGCATTTACATTTGATAATTATCAGTATTCGACGAGCAGCTTTGAAAAACTCCGAAAAAAAAAACACCTACCGCTGTTTTAACACACACACGTGTGCTCGCGCGCATACACACAAATACTCGCACACATGAGTGATGTGTTCTTATAAAAACGACAACAGCCATGAGAGCGGTGTCATTCAAGTTTATTGGTTAATCGAAATCAAGGACAAGTATAGTGATTATGGTTTTGTACGTCGAAAATAAATGCAACTTGTTTTTTAGACTCGGAAATTAATCGTATTATGTGAATTGGTTTTATATTTCATTGAGTTTTATTAGAAATATCTAGTATTTAATCGCTAGCGCTATCTCTCATGTAGTGATCGAGCACGATAGTCATTGAGTAAAAATTCTTTTATTGAAGTTAATATTTCAGCCTAAAGTTCGAGATTAATTTCGCTATTAGAAAAAGAAAATAACGGATATTAAATCGATATATTGAAAAACTGGCAAAAGATTTTTGTTTATAAAATATAACTTCATAACTGAACTAATTAGGTGACAAAAGAAAGTGAAAAAATAAACATCATTCTTGTGCAAATTGTAAAAAATAATAAGCATCAAGAAGTCTTATCTCGGCAATGTACCTCGCTGCAAGTTCAACTTCCAAAGAAAAATGCAGCCGAATAAAGTGGCATTATTCCTTGTCATCTCGAGCTCATTATAGCTGCCACTAAAAAACACAACTATAATTCATAAGTAATTTCAAACGAGGCCAGACAAGCGCGCCAAGTCTTAGCTAGTTTTTTTTTTATTTCACTTCGTCTTCTTCCTCCACCTCCTCTCCGAGGACTAATAAGTCACATCGTGTAACAAGGCCGTTAACCGGCTATCCTTAACGGCGCCAGCAATGTGATCCTATTCGGGAAATATGTGCTATCAATAGCGCGCAAGAATACGAGAGGAGTTGATCTATCGGCAAAAGTATCTTTATAGGCAAATCTTGGAAAAGGAGAAAGTTGAGCTTGGTATGCTTATTGATACTGATGGATGAAAAAACCTTCCGTGCGTCAGCAATGAGGGGAAAAAACCGGGAAGTCGATTGTAAAACGGTATGCTGTACCGGCGCAGGATATGTGAAATAAGAAATGAAAAGAAAGCAAGTAGTAGTAAACGTGAACGCTTGTAACTTTAATATGTTAACTTTGCTTGTGGATTTTTTAAGTCTTCGTGATTTGTCGATATTCTGGCAATAAGTATTACACAGTATTTATTAAACAGAAGCAATAATACTGACAAACATTGTAACGCAGAAAATTCAAGCACATTTCACTGCCTTGTTTTTCGTCACTTCTCTCATTTAATTATTTTCTAAATCTTTCATTTATCTTTTCTCTTTGATGTTTTGTGTGTTTTGCGAAGTATACGTTTACTTACATGTTTGCATGACTAACACAAAAATTGCATTGCTTAAGAAAGCTTGAGTTTTTTTTGTTTTGCAAAAGCAAATTTAAACTAGTATAAATATTATGATGTTAAAATTGTAAAATCTAATTAAGAGCCACGTAGGATTATGTTTTATGCGGAATTTTATTCATTCGAGTGAAAAAAAATACATTACAGCGATTTACAAGTCGTTTTCCTGACAATATTAATTAATTTTAAGGATTTTGATTAATATTATACGTCTAGAGATACGAATACTTGTAGTGATTATATTATGCTCAAAATCATTATGTGACTAATTTGAGTTTTACCAATAAAAAAACTAAAGTTAATATTTTTTATATGAAAAAAACTAAATTTTGTTGATTAATATTATTAAGGTTTTATAGGTTTTAATAATTAGCTTGAAAAGAAAATAATGCTAAAGAATACATTTGCAATTTTTGTGGAAAATCTGTGATCCGGTGATGATACATTAACATAATTCATGTTAATGGATTATATTCTAGGGAACAACTTCTATCTATAAAAATCATTGTACGTAATTTTGAATTCATTGTGATATCCTAATTTCCATCAATATGTTTGAACAACTGCATCGATGAGTCAAAGTAGATTTCTTTAGATGAAATGAAAAGTGATGACCCACAAAATTACTTCCGTCGAACTTTGATTTCTAGTGTACACCCGTATTACTTATTTACAGTTGTATAAGATTGCGAAGATTACATTAATTCAGTAGTGTCCCGACAAAACTGGTCAAGTTTGTTCTTCGTAATTTCGAAATATTCAAGAATTAAAGTTCAGACGTATTACGTACGATCCACAAAATGCTTTTAATATTTGAAGTTAGCCTAAAATTATCTATACTTTGGTCACGTTAGAATGTTATATTAAAACGTTTGACTAAAATGTTGTATAGTCTCATAGTTTGAATTTGACTAGATTGACGTCGCATTTTAGTAAATATAACCTGTCCCTGCTATCAGAACTTTTTTAGCATACATCATCTGAGATATTTAATAAGGACATGCAGTAGAATACGACTGATTACTAGTTAATAATGACAGATTATGACAATAACTGTAATGGATAATATTATAATGGATACTATTAGACGTTAATTTGATTCATTCGATTACAATAACATAAAATTACGTCTGATACAACGTTAACAAAATACAACTATTTTATTATTATACATTGTATATGATATTATAAATCATAATTTTATAGATTCTAAAACTTTAAAATCAATAAAGTGTGAATTTTATTTGTTTGTAAGATAATAGATGCGACGGTAAAGTTAAAATGAATGACTCATTTATATTAAGGTGCAATTTCTATTCGTCCAAGTGCGATAAAATCGATGTGTGTGTATATATATATATATATATATATATATATATATATATATATATTTGATCGCAATATCATTTTGATCCCAAGTATTATTTCGAGACATATTTCGCCATTTGAAGCGAAAAACTTGATTAGACGTAGCGCACGAAAGGTATAAATTTGTTGGCTAATATTCCAATCTCTAGTGGTTTGGCATTATATTGGTAAAAGTTTTTACTGGATGAATCGATCCATAAAATGCACGCGCGTTTTTCAAGCTCAAATCCTATTACACGCGATTTGGCTATCTTTCCATACAATGCCAATAACGAACTTTGCGCTTTTATATTATAAAAGCTCTTACGTCTATTACTTTGTCAAAGCACATCATTTTTGATGGAGTGATACCAATACAATTTACTTCCCCTTGACGTTAAAACTGCTCGTTCATT